GCCCGGCCGAAGGGCAGGGAGGGGACAAGACGAGTCTCGGGGCACGTGCGCGGCTGCGGCGTGGGGTGTGGGGTGCCAAAACCCTGCGGGGAGACTGGACCCGACCTGCATGGGCAGAGCTGGGTGCAGCCACCCCCCCGCCAGCTGCAGGGGCGCGAGGACCCAAAATCCTGCCCTGCCGCCCATGAGGGCTCGGGGGCTTTGCGGGGCGCTGCCGGCGCTCCCTTGGAGGGAGGCGGGCTCAGGTTTTTTTAGGCATAATGGTGGTTGTTTTTTTTTTTCTGGGAGGGGGGCTCTAGCACTGGGAAGGCAGCGAGCAGAGCCCGTGCACAAACAGCTCCTGAAGTGTGGGGCTGCCCCCTCCGTGGGTCCAGGCATGGGGGTGCTCCAGCCGGCTCATCCCACTGGTTGGCCGTGGTCCTCCAAGCTCTTGGCATCCTCCATGGAGCGTGTCCATGGGTCTCACCATCCTGGGATGGCTCGTAGGACGCCCTCTGCATGAAGTTAGTGTAGAAGGAAAGGCTTTTGCGTGCTGTAAATGCCCCCCGTGATGGGTCTGCAGCCCCTGGTGGCACGGAGGTTGGCACGGCCACGGCAAACTGCCGCTCCTTTAGATGGAGAAGCCTTGTCCCTTTGGGAGGTGTGGGAAGGCGTGCGTGTGCTCTGGGATGGCCACGGACCTCCATCTGCATCCGCCGTCCCGGGCTGGAGAGCGGCGATCGATCCCGCAAACCCGAGGGGTCAGCAGCGGCTGGAAACCACAATGGGAAGCCCTTTCCTGCTCCAGTGCCGGCTCTCCTCCCCATCGCCCTTCCCCGGCTCTCCTCTCCGGGGACCTCCATCCCAGGGGCTTTGTTTGGGGGGTTGCTGGGTGTTAGGAAGCCCTGAGGGAACACACGCCTGAGCCCCCCCAGCTCCCACCTCCAGCCTCTGCATCATCCCCAAGACTCCCCGTGACAAACCTGTGTCGCAGACAGAGCCAGAGGCCGTCGAACGTGGGGAATTTTTTGGGGGCACAGATGCGCCTCCCGCTCTCACCCCTCCCAAAGTGCCACCCTTTCC